TCACGCCTTCATCTTTGTCTTCTGACTCCTTCTTCACTTGAGTGTAGGGGGCTAGGTTGGGGGGCACAGGAACGAGAGGCATGACTTTCCACTTTGGTGCAATTGGCCTTAGCTTGTTGGCCAGGTTAGGGCGCATCTGAAGTACCTGGGACCCCATAGGCAAAGTGGGCTTGGCGCCGTCCGACAGCTGGTAGGCTGCGTGGATGCTGGGGTAGGCGCTCCAGCTGGGAGCCCCATTTTGGGCTTTGTTGATAGCGGTGGTAACAGTATTTTCCAAAGACTTCAAAATGTCCCCTCCACCTTTCGAGCCATCCTCCAGATCCTCCTCCCTTAGGTATTGGTATTTTATAGTGGGGTCTAAAGGTTTTTGTAGAGGATCTTCAAACTCCTCACTTTTCACCACTTTCTCGTCCCTGTTGGTTTCCTCCAGCTTTTCTCTCTTACTCTCCTTCTTTCCCTCCGTGGTGGAGGCGGTGCAGTCAGACGCAGAGTTGCTCGATGGCTTCGGAGCCAGAGAATCACTGTTTGGAGCCTCTGATAACGACTGCATTTTCTCCACTGCCAGGGGGTCTAACACCAGCTGCTTCCCTTTCTTGGAGGCAGAACTGGTGACCTTGAGAAAGTGACCGGTGACCATCATGTGAGTGGTGAGCTGCTGCAAGGTATCATGGGAGCTCCCGCACTCCATGCACTTTAAGATCTGGGACTTGCAGGCCTCAAACTGCCAGGTGTAGCTGGCTCCGTTTTGGTAGCCGTAGCGGTTGTTGGAGGACAGCTGCACACTGGCATTCTTCTGAGAGGAAAACGAATCAGCAAAGGACCCTGTCGTGGAATCGGGGGAACACGGCCGATTGACGTCAAAAACACGCTTCTTTGCCGGAGTGACCATTTTCGAAGAAATGGTTGGTACTGGCTCCTTCAAAGGCACTTTTTGGTAATGTTTTGTTTTTATCATGTGGACGCTCAAATCTTGGAGGGAATCGAAGGAGTCACCGCAAAACATACATTTCAGAACTTTCTGAGCATCCTCCTTGTCCATATCCTGGAAAGCCCTTTTCCTGGGCTTCGAATAGCTCGTGGGCCTAAGCTTGTCCTTCTTGCGGTTGTCATCTTGGTAGTGGCCCGTTTCGTTCATGTGCACAGTCAACTCCACGAGGGTGTCGTAGGCGGCGCTGCACTGTCGGCACCGGAACCTGCTGGCCCCCGTGAACACGGTCCCGCACATCTTACTGCTCTGCCGGTACAGCTGGACCGAGCTGAACAGGCTCGGCTTAGAGACCGATCTGGAAGGCAAGTTCTGCTGCAGGCTTTTGGACAGGGCGTCTTGGTGCCAATCGAAATCAGTCTTGTTGCTGCCGTTTCGGGTGTCACAATTCCGCCTCTCGCTATTGGACAGCTTGAAGCCAAGGCCCAGGCCTGACCAATAGGAATCCGACAAGATGTTGGCATAGACGGCGGTCATCTTATCCATGCAGTTGTGCGCTTCGTTTGGAAGCTTGGGGTGAGTGCTCCCCTTCTTGTCCGAGGCATCTCGGCCGCAGACGCTCTTGATGTCTGACACCTGGTCACTGGCATCACTCAGCAGAGACTCGTTCTCAGCGTCCTGATTGGACAAATGACTTCCCGGAGAGTTCTGGTAGCTGAAACAGCCCTTCGGCTCCGGGCCTGTTTCTAGCTCCTCGTCCGTCCCTGTGTCATTGCTGCCTTGAAGCTGAGCTACCGAGCCACTGTCCTCCTCCTCCTCTTCTTCCTCTTTTATTTCTTCCTCTTCCTTCAGCTGTTCCTCCTGGGCATAGCCTGCGAGAGAAGAAGAAAAGATGAAATCATAGTACCAGGTTACATATTTCACTCCAATTTCCTCACTTAGACTAAACAGTGGCCACACCGACTGAGCAGCAGTTTAATCGACCCTTTTATGCACTGCCAGCAATGGAGACAGGAAAAAGCCAAAGGATAGCTCTCGTGCCATCTAATGCTTTTTTTTTTTTAAATTAGCAGGTCTTATGATTTTTTTATAAATGCCTAGGCTCCCAAGTTAATCATTTGCATGTATGAGGAATTTCATGCTACTATCCCTGTAATGGGACAGTTGCTAAATTCATGTGTATGACTTTCAGGAAAACTGGATTGAAATGTAAATCCTAATAAAGTCCTCCCTCTATGGGGAAAGACATTGGCTCCCAAAGAAGCTAAGACTTGATCCGTGGCATCTTGATGGCAAGGTTTACCAAGCCACTTGGAGATATTGGCATATAATTATCTAAATAAATCATTTTCGAGTGCTGAGACATAATTTGGGAGCACAGCCATTATGTTTTTGATAGCCAGTGTCTTTTTTTTGTTTTAACATTTTTATTTGTAAAGTGTCACATAGTGGAAAGAGAGGTTATGGAATATGCAAATAATATCTTCTACCGAGAGCTGAAAAATTATGTAAGCTCAGCAAATATAATGATTTAAAAATAACAGCAAATAGTGTTAGAATAGAAGATTTGGGGACTATCTTATTATTTTCAAACAGGTTTATAAAGACCTTTCCAGACAAGGCTGAAAATGTCCTCTCGATCTCATGCCTGTAATTTCGAATGCACTGTGATTTGTGGGTACCCGTCATGGGATGCCAATTATACGTTTGATTTGTAGATGCAAAATGCTATTGGGGATGCATGCTTTTCCTTCTCAGGAAGGATTTAGGACCCGTAATTGCATAGGGAAAATGAAGACAGGAGAGAGCGGGTGCAAAGGGAACGAATGGGCAAATATCCATCAATGGAGGTGGAGAGTGTGACGATCTATGCCCATGGGCTCATTTTCGTCACTTGGCCTTTTCAGAGACATGTGGATAAAATGCAGCCAAAGAAGTACCAAAGGAAAGGTGATTCAGTCTTAGATTTGTAAGGCCTGAATGGTCTTCATGCACTATTTTCCCTTCCCGGGGAGGGGGTGGCTACTTGGGCCAATTACTAGAGCAGGCGCTATTATTTTCATCCCTCAGGGATAGAGCTTGGGAAAGGGGTGGTTATGCATTGGAGGTCTTCCCTGTGAGACACGCAAAGAGAACGAGGAGAAACGGGGGTTAGAAATAAAGCAGCTGTAGTCAGGAAGCCAAAGGCTCTTGCTGATGATAAAAAGAAAGATATTATTGAGCAATTACTATCTTCTAGGAACAAAGCTACCCACTGCAAATGCCTTCTTTCCCTTCCTCTGATGTTCACATGAAGTAGACACCTTATTTTCATTTCAGAGACAGGGAAACTGAGGCTTTCGGTTAAGAAAAATCACCCACGGCCACACAGCTAATATTGCAGAGTCATAACATGTATCCAGATCTGTTTAATGAGAGAATTCATGGTCCGAACCAGAACACTCCATTTCCCTTGCTCTTACCAATCTAATGAATAAGAAACTTCAATGAGACCCAGAGTTTCAAAGCCAAGCACTGGAATTTCATTGAAATGATGACCACCTCAGAAGGGGAGAATTACAGGAATGCTAGAGACAAGAGCCCCTGACGTTAAGGGCATGATATCATAAAACAAGATGAAATGTAGAAATTCAGTCTAGCTGGGAGGGCTTTTTTGGTTGTGTTCACTATTTTATTGTTATTGATGTGGTGCTTTTGCTTTTCTAGCAAGTTGACAATTGGATTTTTTATTAAATTGGTGTTGTTGGTCTCTGGTTCCATAAATTGATTTGAAGAAACAAAAACTACTCAATCTAGTCAAACAACCATTAATAAGTGGTCACCACTCCCAAGAAAATTGGAGTTTAAAATAGCTGAATGACCGAATTGAATCACCTGCCTCATTCTCATCACATTTTCCCGGACTAATTTTGCAAAAATAGTTCTGCCACTAAGTTCAAGGAGAAAGTCCCTGGTCTATGCTACAAACTTAGTATACAGGTTGTTGTTATGCCAAGTAAAATACTCTGAAGAATCAGGCAAATGTTATCAATCAAATAAAGTCAGTTTTGAGAATGAAATGGACCCCATTACTTGGGGGCATCCATTGGTGTTAGGACTGTTCCAGGATGACAAGATATGTAGTCACCACCTATGGGTAGTATGATCACAGCAACAAAGAAAAGTGTAAACACACACACACACACACACACACACAGCAAGTGAATTAATCTGGGGACAAAAGAGGGCTTTCTGTCTTCACAGTTGATTGCAAGTTTTGTTGGATTTTAATTAGCTTAGTATTTTCAGTCTAGCATCCTGCCCAGCACTTAGTAGGAGTTAGGAAGTAATTCTTATTTTGTATGTGTTGAAGAAATATCCATGCACATGTATGGATGGGCATGCATGCATGTGCACATGTGCACACACATGCACACACGTGTGCACACACACATATACACAATCTGCCCAACCAGTATAGTCATTTTCAAACAAGGAGATAAGATATGTTTTTTTTTTTTTTCTGCTGACATTTGGAAGCTAAGCTTTCCAGACCAGCTCAACCTCACAATCTACTTTGTCCTTCTAAATGGATTCCCCAGAAGAAAAGTCGGAGACAGCAAACGCCTCCCCCACAATACAGATAAAATTTTCTGCTTAATTAGGCATTGACATGTTTACTATAACCTTTACAGAAGAGTAACTCGTGCTGAGAGACCCTTTTTGTCTGTTCTCCTCTGCAGAACAGACTAATCCCGTGCACCCGCTAAGGTAACGCATTGAAAGCCTCATAAAAAAAAATGCCAAAGCACCCGTCAAAGTGAGTCTATTCTAACAATGGCTGAGGGTTCCAAGGAGTTTTTGAAAAGCACATTTCAATATTATCCATTTAAAACTGTTCACTTGACTTAAGTGATTTTGTTTGCCACTGGCAGTGGGGGCACAAGGGAAGGCAGACAGATTACGGGTGACTTGGGTGTGTAACGGGTATGTTTCTCTCCCCATTGATAATTTGTTTAATATGATTGCATCATGTGTAAATCTTGTTGTAAGTGGCTGAGTGGCAAGCTTATGCTTATGAATACTTATTTAACAACAGAAAAGGATTGCAATTATACCGAAGAATAGCAAGAAAGACTTGTTCTCTATAGAACCTCCTGGTTGATTTGGAGTAGAAGATCCATGTTTATGGTGGAAAATGTCCCCTTTTCCAAACTAAATTTTACTTTCTTTCTTCTTCTTCTTCTTCTTCTTCTTCTTCTTCTTCTTCTTTGTTTTTTTATTTGCCAGAGAGAATGTGCATTTGGCCAGAGGGAACAGAGAGAAACAGAAAAAAGGAAAGTGAGAAAGCAACTACCCATGAAGGACTGTCATGCTGCAATCCCTTCTCCATTTTCCTGTTGAGATTTTGGGTACACACACACGCATACACTCAGCAGGTTTTTTGAAGTTCCACGTCGGGGACTCAAATTGAGCATTTGGCCTCATGGGATCCAGTCACCTAACCACCATGCTACCAGCTGACCCTTAATTTTTTTTTTTTTAAGAGAGATTTTTGCTATAGGATACATGTGCTTGCTGGAGAGACGGCGAGAGAGGGAAGGTGAGATATGATCCCCTTCCCAGGGGGATGGCCACAGCTCAATCCCTTTTCCTCCATTCTCTCAGGATTTGGGGCATGCATGCACATGTGCCCAGTGTGAGTTTCAAGCCGCTGGGTCTGGACTCGAGCCCTAGCCATTTGGGAGCCCAGTGCCCCAACCACTATGCCACCTGTTAAATTTTGAATTCTCATTCCTTATTACTGCCTGACTCTGGCTGAGTGAAATGTCCCCATCCCAGGGTGGCTAATTCATGAGCAATTCTCAGTTCTTTGAATGACTGACTTGAGTGACTGTTCTCTTCTACTCCATGGCCCCTCATCTAGACTGGGCCACCATAACTGTCCACCAGGAAAACTCAATGGCCTTCTCTCTTCTACTGCCCACAGGCCATTATTCAGAGCACTGCTAGAACATTCTCTGTAAAATGGACTAGGCCATGGCATTCATTCCTCTACTTGAATTCCTGCAGTATCTTCCCACTACACCAATAATGACATCTTCACTCCTAGCATGTGTGTAAGAGCTGCAGGGTTCATCTTTGCCCAGCTCCCTGCTTCATCAGTGAGCACTCCCGGGCTGCTCGTCATGCTATGGCATGATCTCCTACGTGCTTCTCAGAATAGCCAGTCCTTTTCTTGACTATGGTTCTCTGCAATTGCAAATTTCTCTACCAGGAAGTTCTTCCTCTGGACCATCTCATCCTTGGCTCCTTTCCATCCTTCAGGCCTCAGTTCCCTTCTGCGTAGACTCCCCTTCTTTGTGTCACTCTTCGTCGCATCATCCTACTACTTGAAAGCCAAAGAGCGCTTACATTCTCTAAAATAATTCTCTTTTTTTTGTTGTTTATCAGTTTGTTCTCTCTTCATACTGAATGTAAAATTAAAAACTCCAGCCCGTGAGCACACAAGCCCAGCTCCTCTCCAGCACCCAGATCACACATCACCATAAGACAATGTCCACAAATTATCTGCATGAATTAGTGAGTGAATTGATTATACCAGGGGTCCCCAAACTCCTGGGCTGGAACTGGACTACACAGTAGGAGGTGAGTAGCAGGAGAGTGAGTAACGCTTCACCTGTATTTACAGCCACTCCCCATTGCTCCCGTTACTGCCTGAGCTCTGCCTCCTGTCGTATCAGCAGGTGCTGTAGATTCTCATAGGAGTGCAAACTTTGTTGTGAACTACACATGCAAGGAGTCTGGGTTGTATGCTCTCATAAACCGTCCACCCTCCCTCCTCCCCTGGTCTGTGGAAAAATTGTCTTCCATGAAAACACTCCCCAGTGCC